GTGCAGGGGGTCGGACTCGATGATCTATTGAGGTCCCTTCCGACCCTAACATGTATGAATCTATGAATCACAGAGCCAGTCATCTTGTCAAAGAAGGTAATCAGGTTGATCAGGCATGACTTGCCCTTGGTGAATCCATGCTAACTGTTCCTAATGACCTTCTTCTTCTCCAAGTGCTTAGAACTGGATTATTTGAGGACCTGCTCCATGATTTTTTTAGGGATTGAGGTGAGGCTGACTGGTCTGTAGTTCCCTGGATCCTCCTTTTTCCCTTTCTTAAAGATGGGCACTATATTTGCCCTTTTGCAATTGTCTGGGACCTCCCCTGATTGCCATAAATTTTCAAAGTTAATGGCGAGTGGCTCTGCAATCACATCAGCTAACTCCCTCAGCACCCTCAGATGCATTGCATCTGGCCCTGTAGACTTGTACACATCCAGCTGTTTTAAACAGTACCTAACCTGTTCTTTCATCACTGAGGGTTGCTGACCTTGTCCCCAAACTGTGCTACCCAGTGCAATAGTCTGGGAGTTGACCTTGCCTGTGACAACTCAGATAAAAAATACACTGAGTACTTAAGTCTTTTCCTCATCCTCTGCCACTAGGTTGCCTCTCCCATTCAGTAAGGACCCACACTTTCCCTGACCTTCCTCTTGTTTTCTCTCCTCCACCACATTGTAGGATCTGTTAGGAAATGTAATATAATGTCATAAAATATGATTAACTGATTTTTTGAGTAAGTTTCACAGACAGTAGTATGTTGGCTCTTGAATAGGATTCTAAATGTATGCATATGGTAGACTAATATGCAGAATTGGAAACAATTTACATTTGAAACTTTTTTTTTTAATTTACATATCCCTTATCCTGCAAGCACGTCAACATTTTTATATATCATATGCCTGTTTTACTGCTGTTCAGTTAGTCTGTTGTCAGTTAGTAAGCTTTAAAAAAGTAATTTCAGTAGTTGCATAATATGCCCTATGACTATAGAGTTATGAAGGGAAATATTTTTCCCAGTACATGAGAACAGAAACTCAGATTCTCCAAGTCGGCAGTAAGAAATGCAATAGTTCATGTTCTTGTTCCCCAGGAGCACTATGCTTTTACATTTCTATTTACAGTCCAGATAATTTGTAATGACTTCTTCCTTTACAAATGGAAAACTGGGTGAATCATGAGGGGAAAAGAGCTACAGTGCTAAGAAGATGGGCAACAACTCAAAAAGACTGCACTGATATAAGGCAAAAATAATACTTGCTTTCTTTGCTGTTCAATTAAAGCCAGTTTCTCTTTCATCTGCTTCTGCGCTGCCAATCTGCACTCTTCAGCTCGCTTTGTCTGTATCTTCTTATCGAGGGATGAAAACTCAGGAAATACATTCTTCTGCATGGATTTTTTCCTTTTAAAATAAGGCCATTCATTACAGGTTTTTAAATACTGTATTTAAAGACAAGCATAGTGATGCAATTATTGATTATGATAACTAAATTCACCAGACAGATCTTTGGGCAGGTCTGATTCTTGACCAAAGAGAGAACAAAAAGATGCACTGTGGGTTTCTAACCTATATTTGTAGATGCAACAAATCACTGACATCCGTACAACTAGGCCCTAATTCAGTCAGCTCCCTGAGTTTAAGTATACAAGTAGCCCTACAGATTTCAACAGGACAATTTAAGGCAGTAACACACTTAAATAACATGCTAAATGAGGCACTTAAAAATAATTTGATCCAATCTCACTATGGAAAAAGTAATATAGACAGCAG